CCCGCCCTAGCCTCATGCCTGCAGCCGCGCACCCTACTCTCCGAAACCTGAAGCCCACTAGCGCCAAGTTCTCCCCTAAGAACATGCGAGGGTGATTGCACTCACGCCGCCATCATCAAGGGGCACGCGGTTGCTGGAGGCCGCACCTTGACATCGAAACCGAAGAACATGGAGGGTCCTGCCCGTGCCGCGGACGCGCGAGCCCTGCGGCCGACGTGCGTACGCAGCCTCAATCAAGCCTGCATCCGCACGCCCTAAGCCCCGCAACCCGAAGCCCACCAACGCCAAACAGTCCCCTAAGAACATGCGAGGGTGATTGCAATCGCACCACCATCATGAAGGGGCACGCGGTTGCTGAAGGCCGCACCGTGACTTCGGGACCGAAGAACATGGAGGGTCCCGCCCCCGCCGCGGACGCTCGTAGCCGAATCGTGAGCCCCGAACCCCAGCTTTGTCAGAACGAAGGAATAATGGCGCCAAACTGAAGAACATCGAGGATACCCTTCCCCAGGGTGCACAAGAACATGGAACAAAAACGAAGAACATAAGGGTACCCTCCCCGAACCACCGAAGTTCTTAAGCCTTGTGCCGGCCGTACATCAAACAACTATCTTATACAATGACACAAAAAAAAAATGAGGCGATGACAAAAATAGTCACACGCTAAATATATCATACCTCATGCGCCTGGGGGCCCGACAGGAGGCCCGCGGATTACGCCTCGTGACCCAAGAGCATTCGGCGCGGGTCGGCGGTTATTCGGCAGTCTTGGTGGTGCCGTCTTGGTGGAACCGTCTTGGTGGAACCGTCTTGGTGGAACCGTCTTGGTGGCGCCGTCTTGGGGGACGTCTCGGGGGTGCCGTCTTGGGGGTGACGTCTTGGGGGTCGTCTTGGGGGGGCGTCTTGGAGGCCGTCTTGGGGGTGTCGTTTTGGGGGTGCCGTCTAGGGGGGGAGTCTTGGAGAGCCGTCTTGGGGGGGAGTCTTGGTGGGCCCATCTTGGTTGGGAGCCGTCTTGGGGCCATGCTGGTGGTGCCGTGCCGCGTTTGTAGCCACGCACGAAATGTATGCTAACAAGACTTTGCTAGCCGTGGCTGTGCCACGCACGAGTTGTATGCTATCAAGACTTTGTTTTTTTTGTATCCGTCCTCCATGACCTCCCATAGCAGTTCTGCTTCAATCAGTTTCGAGTTTCGGCGCCACATCCAGATGGCTAAACGGCAGAAGTCCGCACCGCCGAAACGATCAGATGGTCCTCCGCCGAAGGCGCCTCGTCTCGGATTCAACATCGACGAGGAGACCCGCAGCGTGAACACCAGTGTCCTGGCCAAGGTGCAGGACGCTTATGAGAAGATATTGGGTCATAGCAAGTTCTCAGACATCACGACTGCTGCCCCCCAAGACCTCAACATGGCGGCTTTCGACAGTAAGGCCTACGCTAAGAATATGAAGGACGTCGGCACGAGCACTTCGAATATAAATTTCTGGTGGGCCAGTGTGATGTGGACGCCGCAGAGTGGCGTGCCTCTGAATATGAAGTCTATAGAGCACCTGATGCAGACGAGCTACATGAAGGCCACCCCCACCAATCCAGAGCCGCTCGAGATCTGCATCACAGACGGTGAAGACCCGGCCGACCCTGAATCACACGGCCACCTGCGCGCGACCTCGTGCGAGGAGATTCGATATGCGCTGCTCCTGCGGGTGGCCGAGGACATCGACGAGCACGGCGACAACGACGAGATCATGGCGACGTGGAGGGCGTGCTTCTTGAACACTGCGTGCACGTTCAAGAAGGTGGCCAGCACAGACGAGCTCTTCTGGAAGGGCTTAGAGAATCGCGAGGGGTTCGGCCACAAGCAGGCTGCCCTCGCCCTCACCCCCATGCAGCGCTACTGCCAGGTGGTGTCGTACCTGAATCGCAGTGGTTCCAGCGACCCTGCGAAGATCGAGAGAGATTTTAAAAAGGTTGAGCTCGCCCCGTCCTCTGAGAAGGTCACAGCAGGCTACATCGCGGTGGTCGTCTACCTGAAGAAGGAGCGCTCCAACGAAATCGCCCTCTTCCCCTCCTTCCCTCGCCCCACGGCCCCAGTGGAAACACGAGGAGGCCGAGAAAGAGGATGAGGACAAATGAGGACGAGGAGCAGGAGGACGAGGAGGACATTATAATCATCATCATCACCATCACCATAACCATCACCATCACCATCATCATCATCATCATCATCATCATCATCATCATCATCATCATCATCATCATCATCACCATCGTCATCGTCATCATCATCATCATCATCATCATCATCATCATCATCATCGTGCTCCTCGTGTTCCTCCTTCTCCTCCTTCTCCTCCTCCTGCTCCTCCTCCTCCTGGTTCTCCTCCTCCTCCTTCTCCTCCTCGTGCTCCTTGTGCTCCTCCTCCTCCTCCTGCTCCTCCTCCTCCTCCTCCTGATGATGATGATGCTGATGATGATGATGATGATGATAGTGATGGTGATGATGATGAAGATTATGATGATGATGATGATGATGATGATGATGATGATGATGTTGATGATGATGATGGTGGTGATGATGATGATGACGATGATGATGATGGTGGTGGTGATGATGATGGTGTTGATGCTGCTGATGGTGATCACTATGATGATGCTGATGATGATGCCGATGATGACGATGAACACGATGCGGATGATTATGAGTAGGAGAGTGCTAAGACGATAATGATGATGATGAGGAGGAGGAGGAAGATCTGAGGAGGGGGATCATATTCATCCTCTTCTGCCTGCAGCGAGGAGCAGCAGGCAGAAGAGGATAAATATGAGCAGGGGTTCCTGCATACTCCCCAAACCACCCCTTAGTTGGGGAGGCCAGCCCTCCTGGCGCTTGCGCCATTCGTCCTCGTCATCTCCCGTAGCGGTTTCGATTCGAGCACAATGTGGAGAGTAGCTCACTTGTTTGTCGCAGCCTGGACCGCTTTAAAGGGCAGGCAAGACGAGGGGGCCGAACGACTCACAGGAGGGTGAGTCGTCTGGGCCTCTCGTCTTGGCTGCCCTGTAAAGCAGTCCAGGGACAGTAGCACAAGCGACACCTCTGCAGCTGCATCAGATGGCGTCGCAGCCCGCACTTCCTGGCCCTGACCCGTACGGCGGCGCAGAGGACACGATGGTTGAGTCGCCGCTGGACTTGACCGCCGACGAGCCGCAGGACAGGCTCTCGTTCCGCGCAGTCCGATCGATCCCGTTCAATCCCCGCCCATCCCCCCCGCAAGGGGGGGGAGGGGGAGAGGAGCGAGCAGAGGAGATTGGATTATGTGGAACGAGAGCCACTCAGGACTCCCAGATGCCGACCGACTCCGACCTGTTCCAGCACATGCTGGAGATGGCCGCGCCGCAGAAGGCGCCAGAGCCCGAGATGCCGCCCCCGGCGCCGCCGCAGATGAGGAGTTTCGCAGAGGCCAGCGCTGAGGTGCTGGCAGGTAGTCCTTCGAGCGCTCGGCCGACCTTGCCAACGTGTTCGGCACCTCCAGCTGAGGCTCCTCAGACGCCAGCAAAGCTAGAGATGCAACCAGCTCCGAAAGCTCTGACGCCAAGCCCTACGCCAGCAAAGTCCAGCCCGACGCCAAGCCCTACGCCAGTACACGCCAAGCCCTACGCCAAGCCCGACGCCAAGCCAGACGATGACACGAAGCTGAAGTACAACGGCACTTGGACGAAGTGCGGGGTCATCACGTGCTCCCTTGCCTACAAGGCGTGGGACGACATCCCACCGCGCCTCCGCGAGGGGTTCATCAAAGCCATGGGCCCGTATGGCGGTCGTCCAGAGAGCGTCCCGAAGGGCCACGTCAGAACCTTCACCCTGAGGTACGACATAGACACTCACAGTGAGCGCGAGTACACCGAGGGCGACGACGGCAGGGGCTTTGTGCTGGAGAAGTCGGAGAAGTCCTCCAGCAGCAGTGGCTGATCGGCGGAGTCCACGGGAATCAGAGTGGCCGAGTGAGAGAGTGAAAGCTCATCGTCCATATCTCCCCCCACCTCTCTCCTCCACCTTCTCCCCCTCCTCTCCTACCCCTCTCCTCCCACCTCTCTCCTCCGCCCTCTCTGTCAAACCACATTGGAAAAACACACACCCCTCCTCCTCCTCCTCCGCTCCCTCCTCCCTTCTCTCTCCCTCTCATCCTCCTCCCTGGGGCCCTAACACCTTGAGACCCAAAGACCCTAACGCAGCAAGGCCCTAAAACCCTGAGACCTAAGACCCGAACCCCCTAATGCCTTAAGAATACACGACCCTAGAGCACATAATACCGTAATACCAGAAGACCCCCAAACCCCAACGCCCAGAGGCCCTACGACCCGAAAGCCCTAAGACCATAATGCCCCAAGAAACTAAGTCCCGAATGCCCTACAGCCATAAAGCCCGACCATCACAATACCCTGATACCTTAACACCCTAAACATATAACACCCTGACCCCCTAAGACCCTACGACCCAAATACCCTACAACCCCACGGCCATAACTCCCTAAAGCCTGAACACCCTGATACCCGAATACCCTAAACCCGAAATGAGCCCAATCAGGCACTATAAACAACTACTTTGAGCACGCTTCGTATAGGTCACATCCGTAATCCCGTACTCAACTCACTGTTTGGGGCCCACCCGAGTAAACAGTGGTTCATTCCCCATGTTCGGTGTTGGCGTACCTTGAGGAGTTCTTCGCGCCCGAGGAACCGCGTGCTCCAGGCCGAACAGAACTTGGGCTCGCACAAGACGCCGTTCGATTCCCTGTATAAGTTCGAGGCGATTTCCCGCAAGACATCCGACGTTCATCAGAGGCTGTGGTGCATTGACACGATCGTCGATATGGTCTCAGAGGCTCCCACGGTGCGTGGCGAGCTGTCCTCCCGTAGCTTGAGCGGAAAAGGACAAGGCGGGAAAGGGAAAATCGACGAGTTCCTCCTGCGCTACCAGATGAAGAACTATATGGTCAACACGTGAATGGAGACGAGGCCCTTCAAAGCTCAAGACAAGACGATCATGCGGGAAGCCGTCGCGAGCTGGGCGAGCTACAGGTCCTACTTCGGGAACGGCAGGACGGGGGCAGCAGACCTGACGTGGATGTCGGCACTCCAGCCGAGTTCGCAGCTGCTGTTGACCTTCATCGAGGGGTTCGTCTACGGCAGCACGTTCAACAATACGATCCACCACCAGGCTCGAGCTTCGAGGGCAGTCGAAGACATCTTGGATAATGAGACCGTCAGGGGCAGCCTCGACGAGGTCGAGGAGATCTTGACAACGGAGGGCAAGGCTGCGCAAGACGCGGATACCCCACCTTCCTTGTCCCTCGGGCCCGCCGAGTCCGAGGCCGCTGCCACGCCCAGTGCTGCCAATTCGACTGCGGCCTCGGCGGCGCGGGATAGTCGCATCGAGGCGAAGTTGAAGCCCTTCTACTCGCTGTTTGGCGACAACTATGCTATCATGACCGACGCGAGCAAAGCGAAGATTTACCAGATCGTGAACGGGTGGAGCGAGGAGATCAAGGAGCGGGCAACCGAGATCCATGAGGCGTGCATCCGGCAGGTGAACCAGACAGTCAAGCTGACTGTGAAGCCAACGTCTGAGAAGGCGTTCAAGCAGCTGATGAACGATTGCCACGTGGGCACGATCAGGGCCGAGACGGGGGAGCAGCGCTACGTGATCATCCACTACGACCCTAAGCAAGCATGCGAAGCAGCCACAATGCCTCACATTCGTGACCCACCCCTCCGCGGCAAGGGCGAGCATCTCGACCAATGCGTGAATATGATGATCAAGTCTCGTGGATTGGATGGCGCGTTGCACGAAGGCGACTTGTACATGGTGCTGGACAACGGCAAGGAGGGCAACCACACGAAGCTGATCAAGCCCTGGAGGGCTTCGAACAAGGTTTTTGTGTTGATAAATCGATGTATCCCGACCCTTTGATCCCCTGGACGAGGAGGGAGGAGGAGGGATGAGGAGGAGGGATGAGGAGGAGGAATTGTTGTTTCAAGTCGGTTTGAAACAACAACGGAAGGAGGGAACAAGGGAGGAAGGAGGTGGAGAAGGAGGATCGGTGTTCAAATCGGCTTGCCAAACAAAAACGAAGGGGAAGGAGAGACGAGAGATAGGAGACCTGAGGAGGGACGGGGGCCCTGGGGGGGATACATCGATGCATCGATCGCTGAAGCACTCGAGGACACGATGGAACATTCGAGGACCAAGCTGAAGATCCTGTATTCTGAGGAGGCTCTCATGCAGAAGAGGTCCGTCGCCAAAGGCCCGATGTCACTCAGTCAGGAGGAGACCGCGTTCATCGTGACAAAGGAGAGTCTCAACATCAAGATGCAGGCAAATCGGCACTTCAACGGGACCTCCAAAGGCTCGGTCATCGGCTTCTTGGACATGCCTTCCGTGGCCGCTGACTCCGTCGAGCGCCCTTGGGAGGCCACGTTCGCCCAGAAGAAAGACATGTTCGGCAAGTCTGGCCGCGCCGACGTCGGTGGCGCTTCGCCCGACGGTGAGAACTACTGCGACATGAAGGGCCAGCGGAACGACACGGACGTGGAGCCTGCCAATTACCACGCGATGCCGAGGAAGTGGTATTCAGAAGTCATCCATCGCTTCAAGCCGAAAGCCATCATAGATTTCACTGCTCACGATGGACAGTTTGCCATCGAAGCCATCAACGAGAAGGTGCCGTATCTAGGCTTCACGCATACCCAGCTGCACGCTGACATGATGCACTCGTGGCTGGCCGCGAAAGTATTTCAGGAGTTCCGGAACGAGGACAACGACGATAAGTACAAGGCGGAGGTGGCTGAGTTCTACGACAGCCACATGAAATGCGCGTTCGAGAGCACCGAGACTACGGCAGGGGCACAGGCCGAGGCGAAGAAGAAGGCTGCTGCGAGGCGCCGTGCTGCTGCCAAGCGCAAGGCCGTCACTGCCAAGGCGAAGGCCAAGGCAACTGCCAAGGCCTCGGTTGGTGACGAGGCCGAGCCCGACGAGGCGGCCGAGGGTGGCGACAGCGGAGAGGCCGATGAGGAGCCCGATGATTCCGCGCATGAGTAGGTGCTTTTCGGTGGCCGCGAGCTGCCAACGTTTCAGTGATGAGGTGGTGGAAGGATGAGGACGATGGAGGGTTCCTCCTTATCCTACTCCTCCTCCCCTTCCTCCCCCCTCCTCCGCTTCCTCCTCAGTCCGATGCAGAATCCGTGGATTCAGGCTCTGGGTAGCTGAGCCGTTCGACGCATCGTTTGTGTTCTGGCCGTGCACGGCCCGCCGAGGCGCATTCGTGTAGTAGTTATCCTCTTCCCCCTCCTCATTATCAGCGTCCTCCTCAGTATTATCATCATCATCACTCCCATCGTCATTATCATCACCGTTACATCATCAGCATCACCATCAGCAGCGTCGGAGCCAGCATCATCACCATCGGCTCCGATATAATCATCATCGCCACCCATCTTCAGCACCTGCATCACCTTCATCATCCTCCTCAGCATCATCATCATCGTCATCACCATCATCATCATCATCATCATCATCATCATCATGATAATCATCATCAACATCACCATAACCACAATATTCATCATCATAATCAGCAGCATCATCATGTTCACTGCCATCGCCTACATCCAAACATACCACAATCATACCCATAAGCATTGTACGCATCGTCGTCATCACCATGAGTGTAACTCCACCATCAGCGTCGTCGTCGCCACCATCCTCATCATCATCATCAGCATCATCATCGTCATCATCGTCATCATCACCATCACCATCACCATCATCGTCAGCTGCATCATCATCATCAGCAGCAGCAGCAGCATCAACATCCGCATCATCATCATCATCGTCGTCGTCGTCATCATCACTGTCATCAGCATCATCATCATGCTCACCATCCGCATCATCATTTTCCTCACGGTCATCCTTATCAACCACCTCCTTTCCATCCCTTCTCCTCATCATCCTTGGTATTTCTTATCTTCTCCACGTCGTTCTCATCGTCGTCGTCGTCGTCCTCCTCCCCCTCCGTCTCCACCTCCTGCGCCGTCCCTTTCACTGGGATGCTGCCTTCGCCGTCGCTAGCAATGCCTGTGGCGCCTGGCAGGGACGGCCCAGCCAGGCGTAGCGCTGGCAGGCACGAGGATAGATATACATGGGTGATGGTTACCATCAGCATACGCATCATCAGCATCATCAGCAGCATCATCATTATCATCATCAGCGTCCTCATCACCAGCAGCATCCCCATTATCAGGTTTGCCCTCATCAGCATCATCCTCACCACCATCATCACCATCACCACCATCATCATCGTCGTCGTAGTGTTCATCGTAGGCATTACCATCGTATCCAAAACCATCGCCATTGCCATCATCAGCAACACCATCATCATCAACGTCATCATCATCATCATCATCATCATCATCATCATCATCATCATCAGCATCATCATCATCATCATCATCATCATCATCATCACAAGCATCACCAGCACCACCATCATCGTCATCAGCATCATCATCATCATCATCATCATCGTAATCACCAGCACCAGCATCATCACCAACATCATCATTATCATCAGCATCATCATCATCATCATACTCGCCATCACCATCACCATCATCACCATCATCATCATCAGCATCATCAGCATCATCATCGTCGTTGCTCCTGTATCTAGCGGCCTTCGGCCTATTCCGCCACCGCGCCTCAGTTGTAGGCCAGAGGCCTGTTGGATGCTCGTTGGGATCGCGGGAGGCTTCTCGGCGAGCCCCTCATTGGAGTCAGTGCTGGGGTGTCATGAGGCCTCGGGGCCATTTGGAAGGCTTCTATTATTGTTGACTCTTGTGGGCCTCTTGGGCGCCTCTCGGGGGCCTGCTGGTAAGGCGGAGAGCTCGACATGTTCCCCTTCTTGGGCCCCTGTCGGCGCCCTCCTGGGGCCCCTCTTGGGCCGTCTTGGGACCCTTGGGCCGTCGTCGCTTTCCGGCCCGACCTGACAAAGTGACTGATGAGACAGAGTGCTTCTGGAAGCACTCTGCCTCATCAGTCCAGGTCGTCCTGGACTGATGAAGCAGAGTGCCCTGATAGAGAAAGTACTGATGAGAGATAGTGCCTGCGCCGCGCGGCACCCCAAAGCACTCTGCCACATCAGTCAGGGCACTCTGCTTCATCAGTCAGGGTCGTCCTGGACTGATGAGGCAGAGTGCTTCCAGAAGCACTCTGTCTCATCAGTCACTTCGGAAAAGTGACTGATGAGACAGAGTGCTTCTGCCCTCCCCCCGCCAGGTAGACCGTGGGCAACTTCAACGACAGCACCGACCTGAAGAAGGACGGCGCCGCGTCATGAACACTGCCCCCCCCCTCTCTTCCTCCTCTTCCCCCGACTCCTCTGGCTCAGGACTCAGTCTGGACTGCTGTGGGCCTGGGTTCGGTAGTGGTCGGGTCGTCCTGGACTGATGTGGGCCTGGGTTCGGGTCGTCCTGGACTGATGAAGGCTAGTGGTCGGGTCGTCCTGGACTGATGTGGGCTTGGGTTCGGATCGTCCTGGACTGATGAAGGCTAGTGGTCGGGTCGTCCTGGACTGATGTGGGCCTGGGTTCGGGTCGTCCTGGACTGATGAAGGCTAGTGGTCCCGGTCGTACCTGACTGATGGTGGGAGGTGTATTGGGCCTGGGTATATTGTTATTCGGGGTCGTCCTGGACTGATGAAAGATTAGTGGTCGGGTCGTTGGCCTGTACTGTTTGGAGTCTATTTTTGTGAGGTGGTTCGGTCCTAGTACCCCTTGACTGATGAAGGCTAGTGGTCGGGTCGTCCCCCCCCCTGGACTGATGTGGGCCAGGGTTCGGGTCCGTCCCTGGACTGATGAAGTCTAGTGGTCGGGTCGTCCCTGCTTAGGAAGGACTCTGGTATTCGGGTCGTTCCTGAGACTGATGAAAGGCTATGTTCGGGTCGTCCTGGACTGATGTGGGCCCAGGTTTTCGGGTCGTCCCTGGACTGAATGAAGGCTAGTGTCGGGGTCGTCCTGGACTGATAGGGCCTTGTTCGGGTCGTCCTGGACTGATGAAGGCTAGTGGTCGGGTCGTCCTGGGCTGATGTTGGGCCTGGGTTCGGGTCGTCCTGGACTGATGAAGGCTAGTGGTCGGGTCGTCCTGGACTGATGTGGGCCTGGGTTCGGGTCGTCCTGGACTGATGAAGGCTAGTGGTCGGGTCGTCCTGGGCTGATGTTGGGCCTGGGTTCGGGTCGTCCTGGACTGATGAAGGCTAGTGGTCGGGTCGTCCTGGACTGATGTGGGCCTGGGTTCGGGTCGTCCTGGACTGATGAAGGCTAGTGGTCGGGTCTGGGTTCGGGTCGTCCTGGACTGATGAAGGCTAGTGGTCGGGTCGTCCTGGACTGATGTGGGCCTGGGTTCGGGTCGTCCTGGACTGATGAAGGCTAGTGGTCGGGTCGCCCTGGACCTATCGAAACCCTTAGCTTTTTTTACCATCTAAGCTCTTATATGCCCGATGGCCTTGCCAAAGCCCGAATGACGTAAACGTTTTGGAGCCGATACCTAAGCTCTCATGCCTAAACCCCCTCAACGTTAAGACCGACTGACGCTACGGGTGGGCCCATATGCTCACGCACCGCCAACACATGCGTAGCCGACTGACGGTGTTCGTTTAAAGTGTCTTCAAATTATAATATAACGCAAGTGTCACCCCTAGCGTCTCAACAATGAAACAACAATTCATAACTGGTATTTCCCCACAACTGCTTGCACTTAGGGGTTCCTACTTGTGTCTCTAAGGAAATGGATCGGCGCCGTCACCCGCGCCGCCGACGGGGCGCAACCTATAGCGCAACCTATGGCGCAACCGTCACCGTCACCGTCGCCGCTCCCTGAGTAACAATTGTCGCAACCTGTGGCGCAACCTGTGCGTGGTCAAAGTTATTGTGCAACCCGCCACGGCCATCTGATCGCGACCTATGGCGCAACAGGGCGCATGTAGTCATTGTTGGAACTTGCGCGTGTGTGTGGGACAACTTCTCAAGAAAACGCTACCCAATACAATTGTTTGAAACAACGCTTCTGGGACAAATGGTTTGGGAAACGTCGCGCGGGACAAATTGTTCGACACAGCCGTGGGCGGGGCACATTTTTTGCGCGGGACAGATGGCTCGATTTCCCCAGACCTTGCTTGCTGCACTCAGGGGTTCGTGAATACTTATGTCCAAGGAATTTGCTCAGTTGCGAACTTCGCGGCGTGGCGGCCGACGACGGCGCTGGCGGATCAGACCTAATAAATAGTCAAACAAAACAATCACCAACATGGCAATGAAAATTCACAATGGTGTCATCGTCATCGCCATCAATGTCAGAATCATAACAACATCATAATCATCACCATATGTAACATAAACTCAGTCGCCATCATATGCACAATATGCACCATCATCATCAGCATCATCACCATCATCATCATCATCATCAGCATCATCATCATCAACATCATCAACATCATCATCATCATCAGCATCATCATCATCATCACCATCGTCGCCGAGATCACCATCACCATCACCAACATCATCCGTGTCACTACCATGGCCTTCATCATGCAACACGTGTTGCCTCTCTGCGATGATCCCGATTTGCTGTTTTTGCTCTCAGGTTTCAGGCGCCTGGCAAGTTTCAATCCTACACCTGTCTGTGATGCCGTTGCCGACACTGCCCAACCCGAAATTTCTATCGAAGTGCAGGCCCGTGACGAGAAAGAGGTTCAAAATACTCTGGCGTGAATTGTTGGTGTGGAAATTTCGCTGCAGATACCTCCGCCACCGGATGAAGCTCATGAGGGGCAGGGTTGACAAGGCCACAGACATGCTCGCAGATGCACTTCAGGCCGACGACTTGTTGGCAGACAGCGGTGCAGAGTACATCCACCAGATCGCAAATATTCCGGTGGACCCTGACTGATCAGTGGGGATTATATCCAGCAGATCGGGGCGTGAGCAATTTTGTGAATGGAGCGCGGGTGCACGCAGCCCTCCCCTTCCCAAACTCTTCTC